GACATTCACAATGCATAGCAAAACTGTGCCATTGACAGGAATACATATACTGACCTTCAATTAGACTGGAGATTAAGACAATACTGGAAAATCAATAGCTCATTTTTTCTCTTTTGTGCTCAGATTTTGATGTTTACTACGATAAAGAATGACAATGCTAAAGGCAGGAATCTCCACCAAACATCCGTTGATACTACCAGGGGCTCCAGGGTCATGCAGTGGCCTAATCATTGCAGAGTTTCCAAACACAGATCTGTCAATGAATATGAGACACTACTTTGTACAACAGCCACTACTTTTCCATTGGTATCAAACATAACTTTTATTTTTCCCCCTTTTCATCCTGAGCTTTGCAGGCGAAGGTGCTGGGTAATTGGAATGTAGTTCATAGGGGAATAAACTTGATCATTGATGGCTGTTTAATTTTATCACTGTTTTCAGGTGTCTGAACTTACATTACCTCCCAAAGCAGTGAAAGAAGAACTCTGACCTCTGTCAAAATTGTGTAGGTACAGCAATAAAGCTGTAGGGAAGAAAGGTGATTATGAAATGTCCATCTTTTTTTTTTTTAATCTGAAGAAGATTGTGTTAAGCATGCAGTAGTGTTTTATCATATCTTGGTTCTAGTTGTCCTGATTAATGCCCTTCCTTTCTTTAATACCTAAACTAACAAGCAGACATCATTATTTTCATATTCATACCCTGTCTTAATGATATTGAGTGGCTGACATAACCTAATAAAAAAGCCATGAAATTCTGAGTTTAAAAATCCTAGGTATCATTTTTGTTCCTTCATTTTCCCTACCAACTACCAGAGCATAGAGTTAGAAAATCTCTGTCTCCTCCTGTTTTAATTTTTTGGGTTTTTTTTCTTTTAAATGAGGTTTATTTTTTTAAGTGTACATTAATGCTGTACATTGTAATGTTACTTATAAAGTATGCCTATATAGCCTAATTCAATGATGAGATACCTGAGCTAACTCAGGTATCAAACTAGGTTAGTGTAATGCTCTGCCTAGGAGCTTTTATTTCCTTTTATTTCCTTTCAAAGTCCTACAAGTTGGCATCTCTTTCCTTCTCAGGTCTATTTTTCTTTAAGCCCTGCATATACAGTTCTAAAAGGAATAAAAAAGGTACAATCCTCCCCAGGCGAGGTTTCTGCCTACACTAGTAATCCCAGTGACATGATGCTTTCTAAGGTACCCGCTGTGCATGGGTGTAGGCTTTTAAAAGAGGCAAAGAAGCACAAGAGTGCTTGAGGCAGTTTCTAATGAGCTGCCCAAGCAACTTGTAGATTCCCTACCTCTATGTCTCCTTGATTCAGAGGGACCCATGAAGTGATATCTTCCTCTCTTCTTTTCCCATGCAGGGGTAGGTAGATGTTAGAGCTTGTTTTTTTTTCTCCTGAGAGCAGCCTGTCCTGGAATTTCTTGCTTTATGGATAAAAGCCCAGCTCTGTTTTGGACTCTCAGGCTAGATCCCCACAAGCAGGGACATGCAGTTACCATGGGGAAAAAATCTGTGACACAAATACGTGCTGCTGCTTTTTGCCCTGGTTCACACCCCTGAACATGTGGTTAGCACAGGGAAAAATGTTCCAGGTGGGGAAGGGGAGGCTAAGGCCAGCACCTGTGCTGGTTCCAGAAGCCTTATCTGGGGTCTTAGGGGCCTCCTTGGGCAGCAGTGGTGGTGCAGAGCCTGGCTGGGAGTGCAGAGCCTGGCTGCCAGCTGGAGCATGGCTCTGGCAGACCAGGCTCCAGTTTCAAGTGGCACACACTGCTGCCATGTATGTTGCCCTGCTTTTTCCTGGCACTTTTTTATTTTTGGACACCAGACAATCCAGCATCTCACCATGCTGCAAATTAGCAGTGCAGCAAATGCCTGCATACATGATATGTGCCGTTTGCAGTGCCATAGATGGGTTTGCAGCACCACAAAACACATGTGTGCAGTCATCTGAACATGTCCCCAGTGTAGGAATCAAAGGACTTAAAAAATATCAGTGCCAGGTCACAGTTGATAAAGGACTACCTATGTTTGCATTTTGAGTTAAACTTAGACTTGGATCTTAAAAAAAAACCCAACCTATCTCTGTGTAAAAATCTACTGCAGTCATCATTGCATATTCTACATTGACATCTTCCATTGATACTGAAAGAGTAAGGGGCTAAACATTTAATTTAAGAGATATTTTTGTTTTTTGGGTTTTTTTTTCTTTTTACAAGTTGAATATTCACTTACTAGTATGATGAGCATTGGAAAAAGTTCCTGAATTCATATATAAGCAACCTGGTTTCAGTGGAAACATCAGTTAAGAAACTAAATGAGTATTTTGTTGTTTTTACTTTATACATTTGAATCACCATTTAAAACTTCCAAAGTTCATAGAGTAAATTTGCCTGCAGTATGTTTCAGCTCAGACATCAGTAGAAATTCTGTGTGAGATTTGTATACAATGCATACTTCTATTACACTGTGGATGAAACTTGACTATCAGGGGAGTTAAAAGATAGTGGAGAGGGGAAAAGAGGATGCTCCGGTTTGGGTCAGCAGAACTGCTCTGTCTTGGTGAATTCAGACCTCCTACTTCTGTTTGTCTGCTCTAACCACTGAACACAGAGAGCAACAGCAAAGCTCATGATGGGGCATACTTTCACACTGAAGCTGAACATGTTCTCAATTATTAAGGGCATTGAAAATTGTTCGTCAGTTCCCTCTTGAGGCTATAAGGTTATGAGATAAAGACTAGGTTCTCCCTGAAACCTGTTATTGCTATACTTTCTATAATGTGACACAGAATTTAGTGACTAATTCAACTTTTATCTGGAAAATGGAAGAGCAACACAATTTAAATTCCAGCTTGTGAGTAAAATAATTTATCTGCATTCTGGTTATTTTAACTGATAAAAATCCTTAGTAGATCAGTGGCCCTGATATTCCATTCAGCATTCGGAATGAAGCTGTGTTTTCAATGTTATTTTTATTTATTTTATAGTTACCCAAGGAAAAATAAAAAACACCAGGAGGTGTTATACTTTGGTTTCCTCCAAATATTTTTCTCACAAAAAATCATAATTGCTGAATTACTTTTGAACTACATTAATCAAACTGTGTATTACAGATGTTTGATCAATTCCCTTTTGTGCTCATAGATTATCTATAAGAAGATTATATTGTCATCAAATTTTAAGTTTTAAAACATCAAGTAAACTGAAATAATTTTTAACTCTATAGTTCATGATTATTTCTGGGGTCATTGACTACTGGAGATGTTTTTATGACTACTCAGATAAGTTCCATGGCAGCAAACCCTTTCAGGATGAATACTTGTATGCAAGTCTTGAGATTCTTTTACCAAACACTGGTGCAGACTACTCTGAAATTCGCTCTGCACAAATTTGCATGTCAACAAATCAATCACTCAGATGTTTATGAAAATCAAACACACCCAAAGAAGGTGAGTATGGCATAAGAGATTGATTTTAAAATATTCAAATATTCATAACTATGCTCTTTTTTGCAAGAAATTGGAATTCATAATTGCTACATCACAGAGAGAACTTAACTTTGACATTTTTATAAGCACCTCTGTAACTCAAAAGTGCTGTCTTTGCCTAAGGGGCCATATGCATTCAATAATACCAGCATAGAGCAAGATGTTTTAAAACATTATACACTAGAATCGCATAGTTTACCTAAGGTAAAATAGCTTCAACCATTCAAACACTGAGTGTTTGAACAAACTAAATTGCATTCACTCCTATGTGATTTGTAAGTATGGGATCCATCAAGTTCTGTTCTTTCAGTGCTACACTAGCAATGGTGCACCTTTCATATTGACTCATGAGTCAAGTCTACATAGGTACCTAGGTGACAGCTCTGCTGTTCATTTCCAGTTTTATTTGCGGGGGTGGAGAGAGGGGGATGTTGTCTTCTGATAGGGCACTTGTCCGTGTTATCGGCTTTTCTAGCTAAAGATGATCCCGGGTTTTTGGTTTTTTCCACTGTTGTAATGTACCATGATGGACGACATAATATGTACATTATGTAGTGGGTTTAAGTCTCATTATGGGTTAATATGCTATTACAAGTAAAAGATGCTAGTGAGCTCCGCATAACAAGTTTACCTTCTTAACATCTCAGTACTAAGTTGCAGCAGACAGCAATTTAGGGTAGGATTGTGATTGGTTGGTTTATTTTTGGGGGGTCTTTCATTGGGGGGATTGTCAGTAGCTTGGCTTGAGAGAGACGTGGTTTTTGGGGGGTTTGAGTTCAATAAGCAGTCTCCCTTTCAGAAACCTCTTCACTGTTGGCTGCTCTCTCCTGGTCCTCTCCCCAACTAAATGTACTTGCTATCCCCTTTTCTCCCTCCCATCACAGGGGCTGCTCTCAGGCTTTCCAGGAGAACCCCTAATTTGCAGCCCAGAAGATATTGTTTCCTGCTAGGGGAAGCCACTTTGGGCCAGGCATCAATGGTGGAGTGGGGGTATGCTCTTTATGGCAAGCACTCTCCCTGCACCCCTGATTCCAGCACCAAAATGTGAGAACCTTCCTTGTATGCTTTTAAAAAACAAACTTCAAGCATGTTTCTAATTCTGCCTCAGGCAACAGGTTTGTAAACCATGAAAACACATTTTATCTCTTCTTGATTGGTACAGCCCCAAATTCTCACACTGAAAGGAATGGTTGCCTGCCATGTGAAGCCTCTTTGGAGGCTTGCAGCCATCAGCCTGGCCACAGAAAAACCTGGGGTGCATGCTCAGGTGTCCTCAGGGCAGCAGGGTGGGGTATTATGTTTGGCAAACACCTTGCATAAGCACAATTTTTTGGAGGTCTTTTGAAACATTTTTGGCTCAGTCAGAGGCATTGTCTTATCAGTTACCCTATTTGCATGTCAGTCCTCCTTTCTGCATTGCTGATAATTGCCTGCAGTTATGTACTAGCCTCCTCCCTGTTTTTTTGTAAAGACTCCTTCCTTCTCAAGTTGCCTGCCTCACTCAACACCCCAAACCACCCCAGACCCATCCCTCATGCCCTGCACTCACAGCACCCCCTCCCTCCTGCATGGAGGATGTCCTCTTCCCATACATAATATTATCTAGTTATACAGTTACAGAGCACATTTCCCAGCCTCAGCAGCCATGATGTGTGCTGCAAGGCAATTTCTCAAAACAGCTCCCCTTCCAGTGTTTGCCTGAATCTCTAATCCCCCTCCCTAACCCCTTGCCCTGCTGCTCTCTGTGTACATCTTGCAGCTTCTCTTGCTTCCCTTAAGTGTTCATTCCAAGACTGACTGAAAACCTCCCCCCTTGTCTCACAGACATTATGCAGCAGGCTTGTTAACACTATGAAAGAGGTGATGTTCTCCACATAAACCTCTAGCTTATATTTAGTGACCTCCAATGGGCTTTCAACTGCCCAAAGGCACACTCTATGCTCATCCAGCACTTGCTTAGCTTCTGGTTGAGCAATAATTTTTCTGGGTCAGTCACTTCCCCCCTCCCCTGCTGCATGGCTTCATAAGCCAGGGCAGGAGCAGGAAAGCCACATCAGCAATTACTGGGGGGGCACTGAAACACCCCAGGTGACAGCCTCCTCCAGTCCTGGGGCATAATGGCCCTTCTCTATCAATATTTGGGGTGAAAGAAAGGTACTCACACAATTAAAAAACCAAAGAAATAAGCTGGTGTATGTTGCTATTGCAGAACTATTAACAGAATGTGGCTACAGTCGGAACTGGGAACAGTGATGAAGTTAGATTAAGGCCTTAAAGTCTGCCTTCCACCATGTTAAAGACAATAACTCTCATTCAGGTGCTTTATAGAGAATGATTCCATTCTATGACAAGCTGTCTATCATCCTTAAAAGAGATGCTTCAGGGGCTTGCCTGCCTGAGTTTGGGATGACAGGTTTAGTGGCCAAGGAACCTGAAAACATCTACACCTCCCTGGCACCACAATACATTGGCAGGCACTTCAAAAACTAGACTCAATCAGCCTCCTCAGTCACAGATGGACAACCTCATTTGGGACAGCTAAAAGGACATTTTTGCCATGCAGCCACAAATGAGCTTGCCCTCTACTCTGGTTCATCCAACATTTTAGTACCAGACACACAGGATGATCAGCAGCAGGGGATCAGAAATGAGTCTTCTGTTCATGATAATGAAAGTGACTCTGACTCCACTGATATTCTGTTGCAGGAGTCTTCAGGTTCCCAAGAGAGTTCTGTGCTGGAGACTCCACAAGCCTCATGAATAGTGACTTGTAAGTTATAGAAGTGGCATTAGACATTGGGCTAAAATATTACTGCCACATGAGTCCTTAGTCTGCCAGGGTTGGGGAGACTGGTCCCCTTAACCAAATCTAAGCTACTCCCTGCTGGGTGGCTGATGATACATGTTGGGGGGTTTTTTCCCCAGTGGAGGGGTACCAGGTACAGCCCAGTGAGGATGCATTGAGACTGATCAGAATATTTGGGGGGCAGCCTTCATAACATAGTTGGGTGGTAGTGGTGTTTCACTGGAAAATCTTGGGGAGGGTGTGCTGTTAATTTTTTTGTTTTTTAAATAGAGTCTTATTAAAATGTTTAGAGGTAGCAGAACACCTTATGAGAGCTTTCTTTTTATCTTGCCACAGCTACCCCTACTACTGCAGCTGTGGTTCCTAGATCATCAAGAGCCAGTTGATAATGCTTAATATCAACAGAATGAAAGAACAACTAAATGAACAACTAAGGAAAATATTTTTCAGATACTGACAGAAGCATCCCAAAACATATCTACAACCAGTGAAGGAATGTCAGATGGCATTAATGATATCTTTAATAGACTAATGAGGAAGGAGGAAGCCAATTTTGATCTTATGGAGAGCAGAACTAATCAAATCTTAGAAGTTATTAAAAATGTCAGTAAGAATGCTCATTGTGTTACCAGATTTGCCCATTACTTTGGGGTGTGCTCATTTATTAGGGATAGTTTCTAGGGTCTTGGTAATTCTGTCAATGTGCTGCTTGTGTTACTATACGGAGCTGTATCTTTCCCTTCTGCAAGCCCTCGCCCCCAATGGAGCTATCTTGCAGGACTCAGTTTTAATGGAACTGGGTTCCTCCAGTCACCAAATCAGTCATACACACAAACACACACAAATTAATGTGACACACCTAACCCGGCCGTGCTGATCAGCATGGACAGGCTGACACCCTCATATGCCAAGAATCAGTTCATAAGAGCAACAATAAAATGCAGTCAGACACAAGCACACAGGTGAACAGAATCCCTCTGAATCCGGCTGGGTGTCCAGCTGACACCCTCATGGGCCAGCATTCAGTTCATAAGGGCACGTCTGAGTCAAACTGGGTCAATCAGCCTGTACAAGCTGATCCCCTTATGTGTTTCAAACTCAGCATGTCCCAATCTTTGGCCTCTTGATGAGCAGACCCCACAGTATTTTTGGGTTTCGCAGGGATCGTTAGCTTAGGTAAAAGAAGCGTTGCTGCAGAGCACAAAAGGAAAGAGAAGCAGAGAAGGAAAAATATACCCAGTGACTACCAGTTTGACTATAAAAGTTATTTATTGCTAAGCATATGAAATATATAATATATATATATATACTAGTAGTAATAGACATGCAAAAGAAAAAAAAAACCAAACTCAGACAATTACAATACTACCCTGGTTTCACTAAGTATTTGGGGAAACTTAGCTGAAGCTTAACTAATACAGTTCAGGTTCAGATATGTATGCCTAAAGAGAAAAGAGAGTGAGAGAGCTGGGATCTCACCAGCCCGAGGTACTCAAGTCTCAAAGCTGACAGGTAAAATTCCTAACACAGTCCTTGAAGGGAGATGATCTGTTCTTCCAGCATCCCAAGAATGACAGGGGATGGTGTCAGCATGGAGTTTTCTTCTTTCTTCCTTTCTTTCTCTTTTCTTTCTTCTTCCTGAAGCACCCACACTTTTTACAGATTTTTATACCCTCAGTGCAGCTCCTTCGAAGCACCTTCAGTAGTGTAAATCATTGTCTTTTCTATTGACAAGGGGTTATCTGGTTTGGACCATCCCAGGAAACTGATTGATAATCAGGAAACACTTAAGATTAGGGAGTAACCCAAATACTTGGGAGCCAGCTTGTTTTAACAGACTTAAGCCAATTATTGGGGTGCTCATAACCTTTTGTGGAGAGGACTCCCACCAGTCGTCTTGGGAAAAGTATGGCAACACCTGTGATTAGGGCTCCAATGGGCTAGATGCTGTGATGAACCCTTTACCATTGTTCAAATGTTGCCCATACCCGCTGTGACTCGGTCTCTTGCCTCAGCATTCCCTAACCCAGCAACCAAGTTTTAGTCAATCAAGTTTAAATAGGCCTCCCATAGTGGGACCGGGGAATGTACGGCCCAAGATGCCTATTAAACTTAGAGGTGTGTGTGTCTGGGGGGGAGTCCTTGTAAATCCAGATTAGAACTGGTCTGATAAATGCTGAGCTGGGTGTGTGTGAACATCGGTTGATTAGCATTTGGAGCACAGATTCCCCATCATGCAGTGCTCCCCTGCTTCTCTGGTCCCAGAATTCACTGCAGTCTCTGCTTCACGCTATCTGTTCTCCATCTCTCATGTAAAAGAATGGTCATCTGGTTCCATCTCGGATGTAAATGAGACCTAGGGCAGTTGTTTCACTCTTGTCACCCTTATCTGGAGGGTCTTAGGTGTGTCTCTCACTGCGTCTTAATCAGTTTCATTTATGTAGAGGAGGGGAGGGGGGAGGGGGTGAGTCCGACAGACTGCATCCTGTGCCAGGGTTCCCAAGAACACACAGCTGAGATGTAACAATTGTAGAGGACATCTGGAGGCAAGGTTTAGACAGCAGTTTTTAACACAGTTCATGATGGCAAACACTACTGAGAGCAACATTGACAATAGGCCACCCCAACCCACTTTTCATTCTCCTCCAAAAGAGAGCTGTGCTTCCTCTATCCGTAAGAGGAGAGTGCCACTACAGTTCAAGGATGAAGGGAATGAGGATACTGAGCATCCCCAGGGAGAAGAGGGTCTAAGAGGGGGGCATTTCATGGTGCACCAGGTTCTCATGCCTAAAGGATGAGTATACCCAAAGCTGAGCAACATCCTAATAAAATTGCCATTGAACAGACAGTCATCAGTCATCAAGCTATAACTGAATGCATGTACCTTTTTATCAATTTTAATTAGATGGGCATTTATGTCAAAAGAGGGGTGATGGGATTCTGTATTACTGTGGTGGTGTGCTTCTTAGGCAGTGCTCCCTCCTCTGCTGTCACCTCAGTTTATGAAAGCAGATTATACTTCTATCTTGCATTTCTCTTTAACAATGGTGGGGGTTGGTGTGTGTGAACTCAGGTTCACTCTCTATCTGTTTTTTGGATGAACTGCTTTAGTAGTGTTTGGAAAATTGTCACTGAAACAAAGTTCCCAAAAACAATTTTGTAAGTGTTTGTACTATTTTTTTTTCCATACAAGGAAAGGTTTAAATTCCCTTTTCAATCCACGTATTTTCCACTTTGCAAAGAATACCCAAATTGCATTTCCTGGTAGGAATACAAACCCCATCATCTAGCAGCAGAAATTCCTGTGTTCTCCCACCCTGGCCATCCCAACACACCAAGAATTCCCCAAATCTTGCATGACACAGGTAGACAGTGCAAGGGCTGCACCATAATAGGGCAACAAAAGCCCAGCACAGCGTGCTTGTTGTGGCTAGCCAGTTAACCCCAAGGGGCATTAGTTGGGGGTAAACCCCATACACGAGTAAATCTTCAATAATACACTGTGTCCAGTCCTGCATAATATACACAAATTAAGAGGCTTGTGTAAATCTTTAAGAAGACAAAGGTCTCTTTGCAGGGTGGGATGAGCACCACAGCAAAAAATTTGCTTTTTTAACTGTCTTTTCAAGACAGCCTTTAAAAAAGCTGAACTACCTTTACTGAAGACCAAGAGAGCCACACAGGGAGGAGGGAAGAAGCCTGTCAGCCTTACTGGGGTTTTGGTTTGGGGGTGACCCACCACAGTGTTCTGCTGGGCAGGGATCCCCATTGCCCAGACAGCTCTCCCTGACACTTAGCACAGTAGTGGGCCATGGCAACGTCTCCCCATCTCTCCGGGCACAGCAGGCTCAACCCAGGACTGACCCATATCCACCCAACTGTTTGGCACTCCTGAGAAAGACACTTTCTGTCTCCACAAGCTGCACCTTCCAGTCAGTCTGCAATCTGTTTTGATGGGAAGCCCCCATCCCTGGACTTTGTCCATGCCAGGACCCCACTTTTCTGTACCCCAGATGAGTGACATTCTGAAGCACCCAGCAACACACAACCTGTAAGGCTCTTCAATTTGAGGGTTCCTTGGGGTCCCCTGCAAGCTGTTAGTGGGTGAGGGCTGGGGAAGGCAGCCCTTCAAGGTTCCCCAGAGCAGAACCCCATCTTTGTCACCTTCTACCCAAGGCGCCTGTAGCACCCAGTCAAGCTTCATGTTGAAAGCTTCATCATTCCTGACATGCAAATTCACCACCTGACAATTCACATCAGTGTTCAAAGTAGGGGTTCACCCTAGTCACCCCTACAGTTGCTCAAGTCATGCATGGCACAAGTAGACACACACACCAAAACATGGACAGCTACCCTTTGCCAGTCAAGGTCTTTTAAGGGAAGTGACACGGTCAATGGCAGCACCTGCCCTGCACTCAGTGCCAACCATCATCACCACAACTTCAGCACAGTGTGCTTGACAAGGCTGGCTCACTCCATGGTGCATTTCTAATCCTAGTTCAGCATAATGGGGTGCTATTTCTTCTGTCCACCTTCCAATGAAAAAACAAGCCTATTCACAATAGTGTTTGCACAGAGCAATCATATGTGATTGCAGCAACTGTGTTTGGTGCCACAATTTGCTACTGAAGTCTGCAAAGTATACTGCTTTGCTGGGTGTGACCTTTCCAAGCATAGGTCACTCAGAACTCTATAAATTGCTACCCCCAGAACACTTGGGGGTACACCCACACAGCAGAGATGGCTGAGGAACATCAGAAGACCAAGTGGATAGCATCAAAGAAGATTAGAGTAGCATGGACCGTGCAGGAAGTTAAGAGCCTCATCTTTGTACTGGCACAACCAGAGGTGCTTCACCAATTCGTGATCAGCCCAGAAGCTAGCTGGCACATATACCGTGATGTCTCCAGCAGAATTCCAGAACGTGGCCACAACAATATACCTGAGCAGTGCTGTGTCAAGGCATAGTTGCTTCATGCCAAATTCTGTAGCGATATCGGTAGGGCACAGCTCATGGGCACACTGGTCAAGCATATAGTCAACTATGAATACATGCATCAACTTGTGGACATGTTGCAATGGTGGACATCCACAACTACTAGCACCAGGGGATCCCCTCCCCTGGGACGTTCCATTAGTGGCAGCATCTCTCCCACCACCTCAGCCACAGGCGCTGCTGTCAGCGGCTCAATTTTGGAGCGCAGTGGTTCATACAGTGACATGTCCTGTGTGGACTCCAAGCACCAGGAGAGTCCTGGCACCTCCAGCTCCCTGCAAGGTATGTTGCCTAATAATTTGGAGGGTCTATTTGTTTGGTGAACTGGACGAGGTGCCAGTGTGATTTTGCAGTGGTACTAAAAAGCCACTGGTGATGTCATATTTCAAAACGGAGAGCACACAACCAAGTGCTATTAGTCTGCTGCTTTTTTAAGGTTCCACTCAATCATGGTGTTGAGTTGTCACTCTCTGGAAAACTTGAGAG